GTTCGTTGTGCATGATCAGAGTTGTATCATCAGCAAACAGCATTTCTCTGAGTACTGTATGGACATTGTTCTTTGCCCACAGGTGGGCCAAATTGAATAATTTGTTGTTGCTTCTTATGTGTAAATATAGACCTTTTGGTTTGTTTGAACGCAATGCTCAATAACATGGAAAGGTTAATACCAAACAAAGTTGGTGCTAAAAAGCATCCTTATTTTACACCACTCTAAACAGTAAAGAGCATTGAAGTTTCACCATTGTAGCTGACTACACCCTGCATATTCTCGTGAAAGGATGTGACGATGTTCAGCAACTGTGGGGTCAGCTGAGTTTCATTAGTAACTGAAACACTTGTTCCTGCTAACAAATTCGAACACCTTTGAGAAATCGATGAAGGCAATGTATAGTGGCATCTGTTGTTCACAGCATTTCTCCTGGTGTTGACATAGAGATAAGATTGTGTCAATTGTGGTTTTAGCCCTAAATCCAAATTGGATTCTGGATAGATGTGATCAGCAAGGACTTGGAATTGCATAAAAACCACTCGGGCAAAGTGTTTTCCAACATGGAGATGTTCCTAGTAGTTTTTGCAGTTATTGTGGTTGCTCTTGTTTTTATACAGGGTAATTATCTTGGCATTGCACATGTTGTGAAGAACCTTGCCTTCACTCAGGCAGAGGCTCAGAAGACTAATGGTTTGAGTAAAGCCAGCTTACCACATTTGATGTCTGGTTGTATGCTGTCTTCAACTGGTGTTTTACCACAAGCTAGTGTGTCAGTAGCTTTGTTAATCTCTTCCTTTGTAGGCTAAGAGTTCAGGTCTTTCAGGAGTGGCAGACCTTCAATAACATCAAGCACTCCTTTAGTGACAGACTTTTTTTTTTTTTTTTTTTTTTTTTTTGAGTAAAACTTCTAGGTAGTGCTCTATCCATTTTTTTTCTGTAATTAATTTCACTATCTTTGGTTTTGGGGGCACAGACTTCTTTGTTGTTTAATCCCCTCATACATGTTGCTGTTGACCAAACCCTCTTGGATGCTATCTGATAGATGGAGCCAGTAGTCATTTGCACAGGTCTATCTGATGACCTTCAGAAAAATTAACAACTCTCACAAAACTGCAGTGATTGACCATGAGCTAAACAGACTGAATACTGATGTGGCACCTCTGCAGGAAACTCAACTTCGAGACAGTGGATCTCTAAAGGAAGACCACTGCATCTTCTAGCAGAGGAAAGGAGTTGATGAATACAGGGAGCATGGAGTTGGATTCACTGTCAGGAACACCCTGCTTCATATGATTGTACCTCTAGTAAGTGGCACAGAAAACTCTCATCCTTTGTCTCTCTATATATGAAGGCCTTGTAAACCTCATGTGCAGCTATAGATCAACACTCCAAACCATACCTAGAGTCAAAACCCAGTTCTACACTCAACTTGACAGCTTTGTCAAGCATTATCCCATCATATGAACATATTCTAGGAGAATTCAGTGTGTGGGTGGACACTGATCAAATGTACTAGCCAAATGTGTTCCATGACCATGGTATGGGAAAATGAATTAAGATGGCTAAAGACCCTAGAATTCTGCTGTCAAACAAACTACATAGCATCCTTGAGACATCAAATCATTGGCACCAGCTGGACCTGGTTATTATCAGTTATGACTCCCTAAACAATATCTGCAACACCAGAGCTTATCACAGCATGGACTGTGGCACTGAACACTCTCTTATCTCCTTAAAGGTAAAGTTAAAACCTAAGAATCTGGTACAGATTTAAAGAAGAAATGCCAGTTGAGAATTAACTCTAGCAAGACTGCCTATCCAGATAAAAACCAGAGGTTCTTAGAGTCTTGTGGAAACTCTTCCTGGTGACTCATCACTGTGTGGAAGACGGATGGACTCCCTTTGGGACACCATCTGCAATGTTGTAATCTTGACCCATGGAAAGAAGATATACAAGAACAAGGACTGGTTTGAGGCTCCACATTAGAGCTAGTCATTAATACAAAGCACAGTACGCTGAGTAGATCAAGCATGACACTAGCCAGAAAAATTTACAGACTCTGAAAACTGCTTGTAGCAAGACCCAGCAATATAAATATATCTGTCCAAATTTAATTCTATATGTATTGACAGTTTTTTCCTCTAGCTTTAATATACAGGATGGTCCGAGAGTCTTGTCACCCCTATGTAATATAATTTTCTATTTCAGATGGCTGACACAAGCTCTGAAAGTTTGGAAGAGAGGCTGTTTACAAGTATATGGACACATGATTGTGTGCATTCTGGCAAGAGCATGGAGGATGTGTGACAGGATTTCACTGCAAAATTCGGCAAACAAGCTCCTCTGAAGAGGACAATATTGTGATGGGAACATAAACTGTTTCTCACAGGATCAGTTAAGGACAAACTGAGGACAGGATGACAGTCAACGCGAAGGGACACATGTGCAGAGGTGGAGAATTCTGTGCTATGATCACCCAAGAAATCACTATGAAAATGGTCTTCCAAGCTAAGAATTCCCAAAACCACAATGATAGCACAGATCACAAAGAATCTTGATTTGAAATTAAGTCATCATTCATCAATGAACTAAGTGATAACAACATGGACAAAAGAAGTGTGGCATGTGGGGGTTACTTGATTTATTTCTGACAATCCCAAAATGTAAAAATATGTGTTTCTCCAATGTATGTGCAATTTACCAGAGTGGACAAGCTAGGAATATTTATTTCTGGAACAAAGAAATTTTGTACTATTATGAAGTGGAGCAAAACCTTCCACATGTAATAATTTGGGACACCATATCGAGTAAGCACTTGATAGGACCCTATTTCTTTGAGGTCTCTGTTAGCCAGCACTCTTACTTGGCCATGTTAAGGGAGGGGTTATGTTGATCTGAAAGACTGTTGGTTTCAACCCCCAACTATGCTATTCCCATCAGGGAATACCTAAATGAAGTTTTTTCATGATAGCTGGATGGAGTGTGGATCGTAACAACTTCTCGTGCCTGTTGATTGGCCTCCCAGAAGTCCAGACTTCATGTCTTGCAATAACGCTCTATTGGGTATTATCAAAGAGAGTTTCACATGAACGATACCAGAATACCCATCAGTTGAAGGACACCATTTGGAAAGCCTGTACAACAAAGTACAGCTTTGTAAAATATCACACAGGACATGGCGCCACATCATTTTGTGCCACAAAAATGGTGTTTATACAGACCTTCTCGATGCATGACAGTGTCAATGAAAAGGAATATACTGAATCAAGTACATGTGCTTTGTATTAGTGTATTACTTGTTCTTCTATTGTTCTCATTATTTTTGGTAGGTGGTGACAAGACTTTCGGACCATCCTGTACCTGTCTCCTGGACAGGAAATGGGGGATCGGTTTTCTATTGTTATTAAGTAGTAAATTGTTCTCCTATGAAAAATGAGTAATATACAGGGTGATGATGGTGTTCATACAGACCTCGATGTGTGACAGTGTCAATGAAAAGGAATATACTGAATCAAGTACATGTGCTTTGTATTAGTGTATTACTTGTTCTTCTATTGTTCTCATTACTTTTTGGTAATGGGGTGACAAGATTTTCGGACCACCCTGTAGATTAAAAACAAAAACAACAAATAATTGTCATCAGTTGGAAATGAAGGCAAAAAGAAAAATGTATGTTTTGTATTTTCAGTGAGCAATTCATATGAAAAAGGTCTTTAAATTATTTAGCAGCTGATATTGTTAATTTCTATTCAGTGCTCGGCATATCAATGCAGTACAGAAATCCCTTAATTATGACATGATATTAGATTTATTGACAAAAATTGCAATTCATAAAGCTTTTTCACAAAAATTCTTTTTCCTAGCAATTTCTCCTGTTACTTTCTAAGTGTAAGTATCAGTCTCTCTATTTTTCTTAAGGCTTCCTCATTACTCACATGTTCTCTCCCTGATATTCACAGCATTCGTTAGAACTTGGAACCCTGTTGTTTTAAGCCTTTTCTTCATCTGTGAGGAGATTTTTCAGCATTCACTGCTATGGAGGAGATTAGATATTACATAGAAGATAAACACACTTTTCTTTGTTTCTAAGAACATTTTGCTACTTCTTGATTCTTTGCTTAGTGTCCAACAGACATCTTTCACTATTTCTATGTGGATTTCTGTGTTACATTTTCTGTCATTTCTTGCTACTACAGTACTCAGACAGTTAAAAGTACTTTTTTTGATTTTGATGCTTCCAGTCACATTTTGACCTTTCTCTTTTGCTGTCTGTTTGGTTTGGTTGTTTAGCAACATATCAACCTCTATTTAATGCAGAAATGTAAATATTTTTTTATTCAATTTTATTTGATTTTTGGAGATAATGGTTTAGTGATACTGATCATACTAATTAACCTAATTTTCTTCATCTGTGAGGAGATTTGCTGCTATGGAGGAGTGGGCTACTAAAATGTTCTTAGCCTAACCCACATCACACAATCTGGCAAAATATTCAGGTTGGGCGCAAGAACCCTTTAGCACTTGCTTGTGCTTGATTTATATAAAATGACTTTAGGTTAAATAGAAAATCTTTATATAAAATGACTTTAGGTTAAATAGAAAATCAGTGAAAAGGAATGGTCAATTAATAAGACCACTTGTACAAAAACTACCAATTTTTTAAATTGGGATTTTTTTTTTTTTTTTTTTTTTCATGCCAATTTGTTTAAAAGAATGTCTATTTGTTGAGGCCACAATTTATTGCCCCCCCTCTAAACAGAATCCACAGTGTATGTATAATGAACTTAAGATTTTTTTTCTTCTTTCTAATAAAAGATGTACTCATGAAAACCAACTGCTCAGTTTGTAACATAAGCAGTCTCTGCTTCTATTAACCCAAATATTCATTTGAACATACATTTTTTTTTAAATCCCTGAAGTGCCTCTGTTTTTCTTTTTAGAGACGTTTTTTTTTTTTTTTTTTTCTTGGGCCCACTTTTTTTCTTAAATAAAAATCTTAAGCTAAAAACCAGAAGGTCATTAATGTTAATGCTAAGGAAAGTATTTGCAAATGGTGGAATTTTTTCAGACCTGAAAAAAAAAAAAAAAGAAAAAGTTACATAGGTACTTGCAATTTTTTTTTTTTTTTTTTTTAAAGAAAAGTTGATTTTTATTACATAACACAAATGAAGAACCCATACACACACATGATAAAATGTAGTTTTAAGGTATGTTATATTTATAAGGTAAAAGTGCTTAATATCCAGTATAGAGCATGTGCAAATATGTGTGGATATTTCGAGCTTGAAACAGACTTTTACGATTTGGTGTTGATATCAATTTCCACACTTCTGATATACATATTATATACATTCTGTATTACACACACTATAATTTATGAGAAGTTACATCTTCATAAATCTTGTCTTCAATAATAGTTTTAATTATTGTTTTCATTCATTTTTTTTTTTTTTTTATCATAATTTGTGTCAGGCCTTCATTCTACAGCATGGATCATAAGTAAATTCTTGATAAACCTATTAGTTGTATGTAAAAGTTTCCAACAAAAAGCTTGTTTTTAAACTGTATTCAATTTAGAGATTTTATAAGGACAGGGAATTTAATCTTATGTATGTATGTATATATATATATATATATATATATATATACACACCCACACAAGTATAGGATTGGTACAGATGGAATAAAATTCCAATAACCAAAAACACTATTCTTAAAAGAGTGTTCAATACAGAGTAGAGCAAATAGTATTTATTCAAAAATTATAACATAAACATGTTATAACATCACTACAAAAATAGCCATTTTCTTTCAACACTTTTGGTATTTTGTCAAGTGATGGTGTTGATTGCAGAATAGAGTTCAAAACCAACCAAATTCCCCTCAATAGGGCAAACATTGTTACATAAGCTCGAATGACCAATCAAAATACAAGTATATGATAATTCAGGAAACTTGACAACAAACCTTAGATACAATTTATTAATGTCTTAATGTTAGAAAATAATTAAAAAGCATAATGACAGCCTTCAACAAGTATAAAAACTCAAAAAACTTGACTAAGTATAATAACATTAACAATAACATGTGTAATTGTAGGAATCCCAATAATTGCCCACTACAGAATAATTGTTTAACTATTTCTCTATTTTATCTCAGTACAATTTCTACATTTGATAATCCCAATATTAAAAAGTTTTACATTGAAAGTACTATAGATATATTCAAAAACTGTTGGTATTGACATCTACAATCTTTCAACAATAGTAATCTTAAATACAATACTTCGTTGTCCAAGTATTTTTGGAGTTTAACAGAGAAAAACAAAACACCTACAGTTAAATGGAAATTAATTAAGAGAGCTCAAGCATGTAATTCTCTATATGCCCCTTGTTATCTGTCTTAATGAAAAATTGGAGATCATTAGATTCAAAGACAAGATCAATCTCTTAAATCAAAGGAATGAACTCACTGTTAATTGCAAACATAGCTTACAATTTAACTTTTCAACAACAAAGCAATGTTATTGTAAGTTTAGATTGTTATTATTTCTATTATTTGCTCATCCTCCTATCTATTTGTATTCATGTACATTTGTGTGAATATATATATATATATATATATTTATATATTTGTGCATATGTATGGATGTAGTGTATGTTTATATGCACATACATATATATATATATATATATCTTAATATCTTTAAATGGATTATCGATGCTAACTATAATCTACATTTGTTAGTGATTTAATTCAGAATAGCTTATTGACTTAATACTAAACAGTTGTGATTCATTATACATTAATTTTGAATGGGTTCTTAATTCATTAGTCATTTAGATAAGACTGTGCATATGTCTTTTAGTAAGTATGTATGTTTCTGTTTATATGGGTGTATACATTTAGATACTTGCATTTGTGCATGTGTGTTGGTTTATTTGTGTGTTTTTATTTGTAGGAATTTGAGTTGATTTTTTTGTATTTACATCTATGCATACATACATACATACATATATATATATGTATATTTATATGTGTATATATCTGTATATTTATGTATGCATGTATTTATTTATGTATATATTTGTGTATGTATTCATGTGTATTCATACATATATTGGTATATATGCATGTTAATGTGATTTAATTTCTGTATATATGCTGGTTCTTATTTTCCATGTTGTATTTTGTTTGGGTATATGAATTTGGCTGTTAGATTTTTTTATATGCGTATGCATATATGTTGTTTCTGTTCATATGTATATGTTTAATTGTTGTTTATCTTTGCTTTGTTCATAGCCAAATATTTGTTTTTCAATTATACTCTTAACTTTCATCAATTAAACCTTCTTTTTATCTATATATCTGTACACATGTATGTAAAATTTTGATAGTTGGTTTGTACTCAATTAATACTTTTAGGCTTGAATTTTGGTGAGTCTGTCTTTATTAGTATGTGTTTGTGATTGCTTGTATATGCTTTTAATTGTCTGTATATGTGTCTGAGATGATTTTCTTTGACGTGGATTTCTCTATTTCCTGTGTCATCCATGTTTTTGTGTGTTTATATACCTAAATATATTTACATGTTTGTGTACTATTGATTTTCCAAGTGTAGTTTAGATGTGGCACAAGGCTGAAAGTATGGGGCACCCAGTAAGGATTGAACTCACTATTCAGTTGCACATATTCTAGCAAAACAAGTTTGCTAACCATTACACTGCCTCGAGGTGTCTAAATGATTTTCTAAGCATAGCTTAGATGTGGCACAAGGCCAAAATTGTGGAGAACCCAGTGAAGATCACACTCACTATTGAGTCATAATAGATCTAGCAAAGCAAGCGTGTTACAAGCTTGTTAACCATTACACCACATCGAAGTACCCTACGTGTTTGTGTACTATGTGATTGTGTCTGTCTTGTCTTTTGTAAAACTTCTTCCCCTGCCCACATAATCTTAATTCAGATCCCTTAAATAGTATCTAAGTTGTTACAATGTTTGACTCTCCTTAGATTAATGGTTGCTCTAACTGAAAATTTGGCTTTTCAATTAAAACAATAAATAAGTAAATAAATATATGCATATTTTCCTCCATTTCATCTTCAAATAATTTTATATTTTAAACTTAATGCAGGGTTAAATTTAAAATTTTTATTTTTTTACTTTATAGTAAAATTAAAGATTGATAAGTTAGACTAAATTAGAAATCATTCTAACATTAACATTAAGGCATTAATAAATTGTATCTAAGGTTCATTGTCAAGTTTTCTGAATTATCATATACTTGTTTTTGATTGGTCATTTGAGCTTATGCAACAATGTTTGCCCTATTGAGGGGAGTTTGGTTGGTTTTGAACTTTTTAAAACTCTTTTTTCTGCAATCAACACCTTCACTTAAGGCACTGGAAAACAAATTAAGTAATTAACAAACTATGAACGCACACATAAAAAAAAACAATTAAATATAATAATAACAATCAACAACATATAATAAAGTAAGAAATAATGAGTAAAAAGAGTTAATAAACAACACTATAAAATAGCCACAAAACTGCATTTGGATTCACAATTATTTCTACTAAAATAGCTCCTACAATAATTTGAAATATAATCATTACTACCCACCCAATAGCCGTTAGAAAAATACAATAGACCAACCCATAAAGCACCAGTGACCAGCATCTATAAATAGTCACAACACACATTGCCTGATGATTACATTTAAGGATGAAATACTCTCCCTGCTGGGTGTTCACATCAATGTCCATTTTATATATATATATATATATGTGTGTGTGTGTGCGCACACACACTGTAATATCTAACTACCTTCCAAAATAAGGTGTGTATCATACTCAAAGAAAAAAAGCTTCACTTGCTAGATCAAAGGAGTATTTAAACTCAACACAGCAAATCTCTTTGGTGTTGAAATGAATGGATAAAACAATCCTCAGATGTGCTGATTCATACACAAATTACTCTGCCATTTTGACATTTGTGATATTTATATTCACATTAGATAATGCTAGTATAAATTGCAAGAAATTATGAAATTGGAAAGAATAAGATAGTGAAATAGTTGGCAAGTATGAACTTGAATCATGTGACAAATACTGAGAAGAATAAGTTCATTGGTGCACAACAAATGACCAAGTAATAACCAATACAAAGAAAATGCTCATGAACATGGAAAACGCCAGAGGAGATATAAAGAACCAAGCTGACTTCCTAAGAATCAGCAAGAGAGTTAAAAATGCAGTACTACACTCTGTAACATACCCCAATAGTGATCATAGAGGCAATCACCTCCCAGCCATATGTAAACTAGGTTAAAATTACAAAAAAAAGATACCTAAAACAATATGTAAACTACAACTTGACACACTCCAAAATGACTCAATATGCAGATGTAGTTAAGAACAAATACAAAACTTTAGATGATGTAACTAAAACTGAAACACATTAAAGAGAGCATTAATCAAAATGGCAAAATAGGTTATCCCAAGAGAGACGAGATGAGGCAAGAAGAAATAAGTAAATTACAAATACAATTCTTGAGCTAATGGAAGAGAGAATTAAGAAACTGTACAGAATGTAAGAGATTAAGCAAAAACATTATAAACAAATGCAAGTAAGCAAAAGATGTATAGCTCAACAAGAAGATAGAAAAAATGCAGAAGATAAATAGCATGCAAGCATAAAGAAAAATGTGCTCTCTGGTAGGATGTATAACATCTAGAAACGGAACACTCATAACAGAAAAGGAAAAGACATTACGGAAATGGAATGAATACATCAGAGAGCTCTTCCATGACAACAATAAACAAACCTATGATATGAAAAGAAATGAAGGAAAACCGTATTAAAATCTGCTGTACGTTTGGCACTGACCAAAATTAACAAAAATAAAGCAGTAGGACCAAATGGGGTTGTAATAAAGATATGTTCAGTCTTCGATGATTTTGGGATCGATAAGATTGCCAAAATGATAAATAGACGACAGTGGTGAAATACCGGAAGACCTCATTTGATCTATCTACGTAGTGTTGTAAAAAATCAGGTGCAAA